GTAGCCAGTATAGATGAGTAGAGAGTGATAGACAGTAATGGTGGATGTTGGAAGAGGGTGAATAGTGATGGTGGACGGTGGATGGTGATGGGGGGAGTGGTGGTGGTGATGATAAATGGTAGATAATGGATGGTTATAGATGGTAGCTAATAAGTCACAGATGGAGAGTGGTAGAAGATAGGCAAATGATCGATGGCAGGTGGTGGATAATACATGATGGGTAAAGAGTGGTGGATGGTGATGGTGGAAGATAGTACATGATGGATGAATGGTGATGGTGGATGATGGGTGGTAGTAGATTGTAGATGGTAGGTGATGAGTGAAAGGTGGTGGAATGGTGATGGTGGATGGCAAATGGTAGGTGGTGAGTGGAGAGTCGTACAGGACAGAGGATGAATGATGAATGTTGGATAGTTGGTACATAATGAGAGGAGGATGGAGGAAGGTGATAGCAAACTGCAGCTCACTGGAGGGGATGGTAGTAGTGGGTCATGGAAGATGATGTTTTGTTCTGATATGAATAACTCATCCTTCTGCCATCACCATCCCCATCTCCCACCCACCTTCCGCCACCACCACCCCCACGACCACCATCTACCATTTTCCAGCCCCATCTATGTCCCACCACCCACCATCCACCTGGCGTTGTAAACCCATAGCCAGAAGTCACCCTGGACTTCTCCTCCCCTGCCCGCCCCGCATCAGGCTTCACATTCAATCAACTATTGCCTCTAAATACAGACAATGGAGCATAATCTGAAATAAGGTCCAGAGCTCAGTAGCACAGACTTGGGAACCTGGCTGCCGAGGTCTGAACACCACCCAAAAGCCGTGTGACTTGTCTGTACCAGTTTCCTCATCTGAAAATGTACCTACTTCACAGAGTTATGAATATTAAATGAGTCAATATTTGTAAAGCACCTAGAACAATACCTGCACATAGTAAGTGCTAAGTATTTTTATATAAATGATTAGAACAGATATGCACCAGATACTTCACTTTACATCTCTCCTCCTTTCCTACAATATGAATTCCTGCCAGATAGTTCCAGAATAAACAGGCAGCACTTACCATTCTTCCAGAGTGAGAGTATGAAAGGTGGAAGAAATGACAACAAAAGTGCAGCTCACTGACACACCAGATGGCTCATTAATGTTGGATAGTTGGGTTTAACTTCCTAGGGTCAGACACTCTTCTCTATCTACATGTATGCGACACATTTTTAGTATAAGCAAGAGTTCACTTAAGTCTCAACACATGAATGCTTGATAAAGCTTTCATAAAGTTTTATTATTGAACTAAGCCACCCTAGCCTAAATAAAGCAAGCATCGACACGTCCTGCTTCTGTGTAAAGGCTCCCCACTGCCCCACCTGTTTCTTTGCTAAGCCCTAAGTTTGTACTGCCTTGGAAGCCTTATTTGCCCAACTTTAATAGACCAAGTAAGAGGCGTTGTGATGGCTCATGGAGATGACTCAGGGTAGGAAATAAGCCACACGCATGGACTAAAGGAGAAATTCACATGTGGACCAAGATCCTAAAAAGGAAAACAGGGTGAAGAAGAGAAGGAAATGATGGGGCATGAGATTGGAAAGGGAGGAGAGAGGGGATGGGTGTGGGAGAGGGGAGGGAGAAGAGGGGGTACTAAGGCACATCCCCTCTCTGCCGGTCATGGAACAACTGGAGAGCAGAACAGCAGGATGTGTGCCACTTTCTCCAGCCCCATCTGCTGTAGACCCCGCAGATCTGGCGATTCTGGCAGAGAAGGTGACTACTGCTTTCCCTTCCTCTAGTCCAGCGGTTCTCAACCTGTGGGTCACGACCCCTTTGGGGGTCAAACGACCCTTTCACAAGGGTCGCCTAAATACATCCTGCATATCAGATATTTACATTACGATTCATAACAGTAGCAAAATTACAGTTATGAAGTAGCAGTGAAAATCATTTTATGGTTGGGGGTCACCACAACATGAGGAACTGTATTAAAGGGTCGCGGCATTAGGAAGGTTGAGAACCACTGCTCTAGTCAGTCCAGATCACTTAGGTTTCGGAATGCTCTCACACTTGCGCATCGTCAGAGTCCCAGAGAAAGCATACATCTAAATGCTATCCAAATGCTTGATTAAAATATAAAAGGTTCAGATTGAATTCTGGGAAGCCACCTCTCTCACATCAGGCAGGATGAATTAGATTCAGAGTGAGAGCAAGTTCTGGGGATAGGCAGCACCCACTGACGAGTCGTTAGGGAGGGAGATGACTTCATGGGATGACTAAGCAGGTGTAGACACCTTTCTCCTCCCCAGTCTCTGCCAGCACTGGTACTCACTTCTCTACAATATGACAGGAAATGTCTGACTTGTTGGCTCACCACCCGTCAGCTGTGCATCTTCAGACAAGTGTCTTATCTTCTCTGACTCAGTTTCTTCTTGATATAGCAAATAGAGGGGATAGCTACTTCCGGGGGTTAATACAAAGGATAAATGGCATGCTTTTATGCCTGGCATATATAAGCATTCAGCACATGTTAGTTTCCTTCTAACTGTAAATGTCACCCTGAGGAACTTAATAAAACTGTGGAATTCTAGGTTCAGCCCCTGGACCATCTGGATCCACCAGCATGAGTGGGAGCCTGGGTACCTAGATTTTAACATACTCCCCAGTAGCAAAGGAGGAGCATGCTGCTTGTGGGACTAGTCAGATTTCAGAAAACTGAGATATATTTAAAAAGTTTCTAGTGTTAAGAGGGTAGAGGCCTGCACAGGGGAACAAGTGGGGTGAATGCACACGTGTGTTTATGTTGAAATGGCTAGAAAGGCCATTGAAAAGCTAAGCCCAGAGAACAATTTGGTCAGATTATGAAAGGTCTTGACTGCATGCTGGGGAGTGTGGACTTCCTTCTCCAGGCCAAATCAGGCAGTGTGGCCTCAAACCTGGCAATATTTTAAAAAATAAATCAGGCTCTAAAATGGAAGCATGAACCTCCAGAAAAGAGTTTCTTCAGATGGGAAACTATCTATAAAACAGATTGAATTTCTAAAATGGAATAAATGGAATGCATTGAGGTATTTTCAAAAGTTGTCCATTCTTTTCACAAATGTTTAGTGACTGCCTCCTAAGCCAAAGCCAGATGTTGGGGACAGACACGATGGAGTCACTTCTGGGCCCTAGCCATGTTTTGAGCTTTTTCGTAAGTACAGTGGGATATCAGTGGTCAGCTTTAACTGGGAGGAGATGCTCACGGCCCATCCGAAGAAAAGGCCGTGGAGTGAAAGGAGGAGTGTCTTATCTTCTCGTGGGGCAAACTCTGAGGCCATGCAGGCTA